GCTCACTCATAAGGATATTTGAAGTTATAGCACACAAATTAAAAAAAAAAATTAATTTTATTGTTGTATGAAATAATATAGATATCAATTAATATGTACCCAAACACAATTCAACATATATAAATACAGTTTGCAGAATTTAAATAATGAAAAACAACAAAAGTAAATTAATTGTGCATAGTGAAAATATCATTTAATTTCAAACAATTTTTTTTCGTAAAACACTCTTTTAAAGCAAACAGAAGGAGTGTAATAGTGAAAAAAACGTTTCACACGTAAAAAGTTACGTCACACGTAAAAAAAAATATTATACTACTACATTAGACGGAAAACTTTTATCAGCTTTTCACTACATATAATAGCTGAGTTAATAAATAACGTTCTCCCCCTCTACAAACTTTAAATCTATGTATGAATATATATAGTATAACATATGAGTAAACGTAAGTATACAAACTAATTAACCAACGCACGATCTTTAAGCTCCTTAGCCAAAGCCGGCATGCAGCTAGAGCTCCTAGCGAGGCCACCTTTTTCAGACTTGTTGGCTCTAACGATCTTCTTAGACCTCTTCTTCAGAATTTCCTTAACCGCATCGGCTTGGTAAAGCGCCGGATAACTCCGGCCTAGCCTGTTGAACCGGGCACATGCACACATATGTGCCTTCACTGCCTCCTCGCGCCTCTTCTCCACCACCACTTCACTGTTGTTCATCTTCTCAATCTCCTCCTCCACCGCCTCTGCACACAACCCGCAAATCAGCTTCCCTGAGAATTTCGAACGTACTCGGTTTATATACTCCTGTGTGCATTCTTCAGACATGCCACAACACTCGCACTTTGCATCTTCCACTTCGGATATCGCTGATAAGGACAACAAAGTTGTTGCGGTTGGGGTTGGAGATGGTTGTTTTGTTAGAGTGTTATCTGTGGATAATTGGTGTGAGATATCCGAGAAGGTGCGTTGAAGACGGTCCATGGCAAAGATTGGTGTTTTTTGGTGTGTTTTCTTGTGTTTGTTGTATATATGTGTAGAAGTCACCTGTAACTTGTATCAATGATTATTGATTATATGTTGTTACTTGTTAGTTGTGATGCTTATTTATAGTGTTAAGAGAACTATCTCGAGGGTTCTGTTTCCCAATTTACTTTTGTCTTCGTCCTGCCAATAAAAGCATGAACAATTTAGCTTTTATTTAATGGGCTAAATAAAGGATCAACTTCACATGTATTATCTTTAATGGCACGGTAAAGCCAACAAAAAGTTCCCGCTTTTGGTTAGTGGCAAAGATGAAGTTTATTGATTATTAGAAATTGGTGTCCGACTTCAGCCAAAATTTGCAAAATCTGCATATTTTCTTATCTGATCCGGTTCAAACATTTTTACTTGTG